TCCCAGATCAGTCTTGTACGGGAAACCATCGATCGAGTCCTAAACGAGGACACGACGCTAGCTGACAGGATCCGAATCCTCTTCCAAGAAGAAGGCATCACCATCGCGAGAATTCTGACTGCATTGGGCTTCATCATATCAACCCTGGTGGTGTCATTGACGCCTGCCGGCGGCAGTGGTACACCAACACCAACACCAACACCAACACCACGAAGTGACTGGATAAAAAAACACCTGAAATCCCTCGGGGAGGCCCTGGCTAAACTCGCTGGTAAGGCCGCCGAAGCCCTGCCCGGCATCCTGGGTAGCATCGTCTCGTGGTTGCTGAGCGCTCTGGCTAAAACTGCCACGTGGCTCGGTCAAAACCTGTGGGCAGCCATCGTCGCCGTGGCGGGTCTGGTGTACGTAGCGGCTAAGGAATTTTTAACCAAATGAGTCCCAAACCGGCCACTACCCCACCAACCACCAGAGCTGTTTTACGGTCGCGTGCTGATTGGATTGTGGGCGTTGGGGTTGTGGGGGTGTTGGTTGAACCCTGGGCTCCGGGGGTGGTACAACTATACCCATCGCACAAGTATGTGTGGGTGGTGGGACGTGGGGGGTGTTCACATTGGGGTTGACGCCCAACTTTTGGTCCGCCGTGGCTATGACTATTTCGTTGTTGTAGCCCACCACTTTTTTTACTCTCAGTTGCATATCGCTCGGAGCCATGTACAGTCCCACGTTGAAGACGTAGTCGACTTTCGACCGGGCGTATTCCAACCCGTCTTGGTAGCGTTTGATGGCACTCGGGAGATCAACTGGAGCATTGATAGCATCCTCAACGTTAACAACGAACTGTTTCTGAGCGATGTAAGCAGTCCCCTTACCGAGGATGTTGGAACGCGTTTGCGTCTGCGCACCCAACAGCGCCCACACGTACGTTCGAATCGAGTCGTTCAATCTGGTGACACCGGCACGAGTGAACCCTTTCGACATGCCCAACATGAACATTTTCCACCCGTCCGTGGTTGACTACTCCACTTTCTGGACGGTGAAAGCAACACCACCTTTAAAGTTCATACGATCATCTCACCATTCATTACTCGACAAAGCAAAGTCCTGGCGTAGTACATCTCGTTTCAGTAAATCATCACTGACTTCTTTCACAGGTCTCCCCCCATTATATGGAATACCCAACCCTCGGTTCGGCCCCGGCAAACGCCAATCCATCTTCGGGTTTAGTTCGAATTCGTTGCAAATACGTTCGTAGGCCCGTCTATCGTACTGGTTGTTTACTGCGTCCCACGCCTTGTCCTGTGGGAGCGGGGCGCTGATCTCTTTGAGGATACGCCTGACCTGGTAGTACACGTGAAACATGAACACAGACTGACTCAGCGGTCCACGCTGAGTGTCGGTCAATGTCACACCACACCCCCTTGAAGCGCACCACACGGCGAAGTTAAGTTGAATCTGCCAGAACTGCATCGGGTTGTTGAAACATGCGTGGACTGCCTTGACGTTAGTCACCGAAAACTTATACTGGTCGAACACATCTATAAACTGAGCGCTGAAATACATCCCAGCAGCGTCGACCACAATCTTCATGTGTGGTAAATCTATGTCCAGTTAAGGGTAAAACACTCCCGGGGAGTACATTTTAAAAGTATTATATAATGAGTATATATACTTCTAACATGTACGTAACACTTCCAGGAATAATGAGCGGTGAGTCCGTTCAGCTGATACACGCGATCGATAACACGTCGGGTCAACTCGAAGTCACACTCTGCGATATCACCTACCTACCGCGATGGACTAACATCAACATCAACAACAACAAGCTATTCGTCAGTGGCACCCGCAACCAGATAACTGACAGCTACTACAGCGTGTGCTCGCTAAGCGATGAGGTCTTCAAGCCCCTGGGAGCCGAACTCAAGATGAACGACTCAAACGGCACAGTGGTGTTAATCAACAACGGAAGAAACTCCTTGAGGCTCGGCCGACCATTGGCGAGGACACTGGGTATGCCGCCGGACGAGACAAAACCAACAACTGCCGTCACAGGCACGAAGTTACCCGACCTAGTACCGTACCGAGAGCTGTGCATTCATCTCGGCCAGCTGAGCACAACGGACAACATTCAAGGGGGTCACCCTTCCACGATACTGAGAGCCGTACTGGTGAAAACGGAGAAATACAACGACGGCAGAACCGAGTCGTTTTCACCGTGGCAGCATAAGAGGTTAACTCGGGGCAACATCCCTGAGCTGGTAATATCGGTGTTAGATATAAATCATAATCCTGTGAATATAGAATACCTCAGCATAACGCTGCACATAAAATGACTAGCGCACAAGGTCCCGGAATGAGGTTGAAAAAATGCATCAATGCGGGGATCTCCGACCTCGGGGACACACGCGGATTCGACGACCCCGGAGTAGATGGTAAATTGTATGCCTTGCAACTGAAAAACAACATTTACAAACCCGTTGAAGTCCCCTCCGGTGGAACCCTAGGTGATATAGTAGATACCTCAGGAGCGACCGTCAACACTCGGTACACCCTAGTCCGCACCGGTTATGATAAATGGATGGTATACCCATCGTTCGCGGGCAAACTGTTCGACATAGAAGATGTTGAGAGAACGACCCAAAACAAACCAAATACGCTCGTCTTCACCGACGATGACAAGTGGGTGTTGTTACCCGCTAAAGGCGACTGGTTTCTCAATATTAGGCTTGGCTCCCCCTACGTGTTCACGGAGAACAAAGACAACTACCTAAACAAAGTTGTGAACAACGGAACCCTGCTCGTGGCTTACGTTCCGGCTCAAAGACGTAGCATAGTCATCAGCCCAGTCGGCAGTATGGCAGCCCACATGCTATCGAGTAAACCGGGAGTGCAAGACGGGGCATTGCATTTGGTGTCTGAATTCGCTGGCGTGGTCAACGTCCTGGCGAGCCTACCAGCGAACTCCACGCTCGTCATCAATGTCTACCTAGGGGAACCATCACGGAATGAAGTCGAAATCGTGAAGGGGGTCAAACTCGGGTGGGTGAAACGGCACCAGTATCAGGTTTGCACTGTTTACGTGCGGGTGGGTGTCGACTCCCACACCAGTCTGCAGGGGGTCATCGGGACCGTGGAAGACACGATATCACTCGCCAAGATCTTCCTACCCGACAACATACACTTCATGGGGGTGAAGTGCACCCCTGAACTATTATCAGAAAAACAATTGGAAACTATCTCGTAATAGTAATATATCAATGTCCAATCATCACCCCAACGCCACACTTAACGATCTAGGAATGGAGGGATTCGATCAGCCTGGCGAGGAAGACGCCTTGTACGTCCTACACCTAAAAGATAACGTGTATAGGCGGTAGGCAATAGCCGACCATCTACCCAAACCCACACTCGGGGACCTAGGAGGCATAGAGGGATTCGATCAGTGTGGTGGGGGAAACGTCCCGTACGTCCTACTCTTTAAAAACGGTGTGTACATAAGGCAGTCCCTGGTAGACTTAAAAGAACCCAAATGGTTGATCAATGTGACCCTCACCGCACCATATATCTCATTAGACAAAGATGGCTATGTCTCCGAAATTAGGAACAACGGTATCTTGCTCACGTCTTTCATTCCAACTCGTGAAAGGATGATAGTTTCTAAAATACCATATTACTCGGAGGGCAACATGTTAGTTTCAACCAGGTGGTCGCAGTTAATAGCCAATCGCCCCGATGCCATAGCAGGGTTTAGGGCTATGGCCTCAGGCTCCACATTCATCATAGAAGTCGCTTACAAGGGTAAGTTTGATGATTCAGACCTGGGGCCATCCCCAAACCTGCAACTTTTACCTGGGGTGACAATACGTTGGGATGACCCCCTAATACCAATCCCCCTACCTTGCCGTATCATTATACGATTGGGGGACCTCTCACTGGGATTACTACCCCCCTTAGTAAACTGCTCACATGTTGATATAGACCAGAAGTTACCTATTGATCCTTCCCGTATCTCCACATACGAGAATCTAAGCCTTATAAGCCTCAAGTACATTGATCGGCTATTAACTGAAGCCCAATTAAAAAATATCCCATAAGATATATTATATGCACACAGAATGGGGCTGTACCCAGTCGTAGAGGAAGTAGCGAAGACACTGGAAACCGTAGACGGATTCCGCTTGAGACAGTTATGTGATGTAAAACGCCAACTAGAACAAGACCGCGACACGCGGAAAGCACTATATAAGAAGTACCATAGAGCTTTCAATATCGTGGATGGGACTGATACTGCCCTTATGGCAACCAGCATGGGACTAGGGGCGGCAGGTGTTGGGTTGTTAGCCACCATCGTGGCCGCACCTATAGTGCTAGGCATTGAAATAACAGCTGGGGTTGTAGGGGTGGCAGGGTTGGTGTTTAAGTTTGTATCCCGCAGACTGCACCGTAAAGCGTTGAAACACGACGAGATCAGGGTTCTGGCCGAAGCAAAGCTGAACACGGTAAGTGAGCGTATTTCCACGGCACTCACTGACAGTAAGATCTCAGAGGAGGAATTTCGTTCAATACTCTCTGAACTCGACAAGTACCGTAAGATGAAACAAGAAATCCGGTCCAAGTCTCGTAAGTCTGCTATCAGCGAAGACGAGAAAAAAAAGTACATAGAACAGGGGGTACGAAAAGCCCAGCAAGCCTTTATTACGAACACCAAAGAGATCATAGGCGATTCACATTAAACTGTTTCATCGAGGTCAACACGTCATAGCGGCACAGTAGTGCCACGTGGGGCCGGGAAGTTAACTGGGGGTTCAAAAGTAGTAGATATACTGGGGCGAGATCTAAGGGCCTGACAAAAGCTTTATTTGTGAAATAAAGCTTTGCAGAGGCTTTTGTTGGACTTGGTCTCGGACTATCATTATATCTACTACTCACTTTGTAAACGAAAAGGAAGTGTTTGTTGTTTGCTATTTGCGTGTTGTTTGTAATCCCAGGAAGCGTCAACTTACTTGTCTGACAATGTTTCCCTGTGAAGCCGCTGGAGCAGGCACAGCTACTGGCGTACTCGTTCCTGCAGGTCCCGGGATAACACCGGGTGCTGTCACTCCGCCATGAACACGCCTCTGTAGACACAAATGTGGGATCTATCTTTACAGCATGGTTGGGTAAGTATATCTAAATCTGTTTTGTTCGGTGGGGTGACGGCAAGGTATATTCTAACTTCTGCATGATATGTTGTCCGAAGAAACAATATACGCAAGACCGATGATCACTTCCTGACTTAAGTTGACTGGAAATGATTTTGTTCTATTTGACAGATCCAATTAATAGAGTCGAAGGGTATGATACAGATAGATGCAACAATAAAACCAATTTTAGTAGTTAAAGACTGAATGAATAGAAGAACTTCTTGTATTGTAGGATTCGTAACATTTATGATCATTTATAATTATGTAACATTTTCAGAGTCTGGATTCTTGTAGTTTGCACGTGTTTTTATTCAAAGCTCGATAAAGTCGAAAATAATAGTAGGGGCCTATAAACAACTGGTGGACATAATGTTGATTCGTTATTCATCAGTATTCATCTCACGTATGCATGATCTCCGACTCGAAGACGCCACATATGCCCTGTGTCCTGCCTGGTCCAGCACGACCCCATCACAGCGACGACACACCTGGTTGCTGCTGCTAGTGCATGTCTCCAGGTCACACTTACCGATGGCGCTGCACACTGGCAAGGGTAACACATGACCTTATCTTGAACAGCGTAAATTTCTGGCTTGCAACATAGATATTTCAGTGACCGCAAGACCCATTATGGGCGGAGAAGTTGTTTTGTGAGTTGGTACCAACGCTGCTTTTAACAGTATTCCCAGTATACCTAGGTTACACTTACTGACAGTGGTGCACATTGTGCAGGTAAGAAAGGGCATTATCATGAGCAACCTGAATATTCTGAGCTTGTAGCAAAGATGTGCCAGAAACTATTTTGATCACAAGAGCATTTTATGAGTGAGTGAGCTGGGCTGAACGCCGCTGTTAAAGGCATGCCAGCATAATGTGGGATTGAAGCTTCAAATTATGTAGTTCTCTGGCGTTTATCGCTTTGGTAAAGCAACGTGTTTGGTGCTGATAGAACTAGAACCGTGACGAAACAGGATTCGAGCGATATGTTTAGGTTTTAACGTGCTTAAGGGAAGTAACTCTGCAAGGTGAATGGCTGCACGTAAGTGTCTCCGATATGAATGAATGCGCTGGACCTATATACACGTACTTCTGCATCGTTCTCTCCTGGGGTAAAAACCTGCATTACAGCTGGAACAGATCCCAGGGGAAGTACATCTGCCCCCACTCTTGTACTGTGTCCTGCCGTTACTGTAGACGATGTGAGATGACCTGTAGTTGATGTTGCAAGCAGCGGACTGGATTTGATTGTCACATACAGCTGCAATGTGTAAGTGGTGTTTCATTGTTGCATTATGTGTGGTGAAGATATTAATGCACAATCAAAACATCTGAAGTATCTTGAGTGGTAATAAGGGATTAGAAGAAACAAAAGCATGCCACTTGCGTATATTACATTAATGGATTTACAACAAACGTTTGTGTATGACAATCAACAGCCTTTAGATGGCTCGTCCAACTTTATGTTAACAAGGTATAGACATCGTCAGATCATAATGATAACAATTGTAGTAAGACCAGACGCTTCTCTAGCCAAGTAGCTCAATTCACTTACGATGTGGGCAGCCTATGTTATCTGTTGATCTGTACCCTGTTTTGCATCTGTAATGTGTGTATGACCGACGCCTGGTAGAAGAAAACGTGCTGTCTTACTATGCGTTTGATATTGTCGACATAGGAATGTACACTTCACATCAGTGTTAATAATATGCTTTAGTATTCTCAACCTGCCTCTACTATGATTTGGTCACTGCAAATTTCCGTTTGTCATAGAGGTCAACTGTGACTCTCTGACCGGCAGAAAAAGTGGTCAGAATATAACTAAATATTCCTTCAAAAGCCATTTACACTGAGAACAAGTCAGATCAGGAAGATAGCATCATTTATATACTCAGAACGAAACATTATAAATAACGACCATTGGTTTTAAGAAATGAAGTTTTACCTGTATCTTGCGCATCGGCCCCAAAAAGAAAACCACACGATGTTGTGTATTGTCGACTCGAAGACGCCACATATGCCCTGTGTCCTGTCTGGTCCAGCACGACCCCATCACAGCGACGACACACCTGGTTGCTGCTGCTAGTGCATGTCTCCAGGTCACACTTACCGATGGCGCTGCACACTGGCAAGGGTAACACATGACCTTATGTTGAACAGCGTAAATTTCTGGCTTGCAACATAGATATTTCAGTGACCGCAAGACCCATTATGGGCGGAGAAGTTGTTTTGTGAGTTGGTACCAACGCTGCTTTTAGCAGTATTCCCAGTATACCTAGGTTACACTTACTGACAGTGGTGCACATTGTGCAGGTAAGAAAGGGCATTATCATGAGCAACCTGAATATTCTGAGCTTGTAGCAAAGATGTGCCAGAAACTATTTTGATAACAAGAGCATTTTATGAGTGAGTGAGCTGGGCTGGGCTGAGCGCCGCTGTTAAAGGCATGCCAGCTTAATGTGGGATTGAAACTTCAAATTATGTAGTTCTCTAGCGCTTATTGCTTTGGTAAAGCCACGTGTTTGGTGCTGATAGAACTAGAACCAAAATCGTGACGAAACAGGATTCGAGTGATATGTTTAGATTTTAACGTGCTTAAGGGAAGTAACTCTGCAAGGTGAATGGCTGCACGTAAGTGTCTCCGATATGAATGAATGCGCTGGACCTATATACACGTACTTCTGCATCGTTCTCTCATGGGGTAAAAACCTGCATTACAGCTGGAACAGATCCCAGGGGAAGTACATCTGCCCCCACTCTTGTACTGTGTCCTGCCATTACTGTATACGATGTGAGATGACCTGTAGTTGATGTTGCAAGCAGCGGACTGGATTTGATTGTCACATACAGCTGCAATGTATAAGTGGTGTTTCATTGTTGCATTATGTGTGGTGAAGATATTAATGCACAATCAAAACATCTGAAGTATCTTGAGTGGTAATAAGGGATTAGAAGAAACAAAAGCATGCCACTTGCGTATATTACATTAATGGATTTACAACAAACGTTTGTGTATGACAATCAACAGCCTTAAGACGGCCTGTCCAACTTTATGTTAACAAGGTATAGACATCGTCAGATCATAATGATAACAATTGTAGTAAGACCAGATGCTTCTCTAGCCAAGTAGCTCAATTCACTTACGATGTGGGCAACCTTTGTTATCCGCTGATCTGTACCCTGTTTTGCATCTGTAATGTGTGTTTGACCGAGTCCTGGTAGAAGAAAACGTGCTGTCTTACTATGCGTTTGATATTGTCGACATAGGAATGTACACTTCGTATCAGTGTTAATAATATGCTTTAGTATTCTCAACCTGCCTCTACTATGATTTGGTCACTGCAAATTTCCGTTTGTCATAGAGGTCAACTGTGACTCTCTGACCGGCAGAAAAAGTGGTCAGAATATAACTAAATATTCCTTCAAAAGCCATTTACACTGAGAACAAGTCAGATCAGGAAGATAGCATCATTTATATACTCAGAACGAAACATTATAAATAACGACCATTGGTTTTAAGAAATGAAGTTTTACCTGTATCTTGCGCATCGGCCCCAAAAAGAAAACCACACGATGTTGTGTATTGTGATGACCAGTAAGTTCTATACGCCACTACATTTACACTGAAAGGAAAGTAATAATCAGAGATATCATTGTTGCTTCGTCTCACACATTTAAACTGCAAATGTCCTCATGCACGCATAAGAAGTCAAGTAAATATTGCCACAGTGTTCACGCAGTTTACTATCTTTAAAATTTAACTTGTTCAGATATAAATTGCAAGGCAAAATTGATTGAAGGATTTTATACTGTAATTGTTTGTATTTATTTTCTAATTCTGATTATTTTACAAGTTTCCATTATAAGTATCCTCTTCTGCCACAGAACAAATATTATGCATCAAGCTGTACCAGGACGTCGGGACGTCGGGACGTAAGCCAAGAGCAACATTCCCTTGTTCACGACTTTCGTTAGGTAGTGGTGTTTGTTTTCCGTAAAAATGAGGGGAGAGCCGAGCATGATGTTGATGATCCAGTCTATTCGACAGGGCACAAAGATCCATTTGTCATATTCGGTGAATACGAAAGGGTATCGCGCGTTTCGCGTGAGGACCGTGGTCTCGACATCGTTCAGGTCGAACAGCTTGCCGCCAAAGGCTCTGGATATCGTCCATTCCTTCTCCTCATTGCGGACGAGGTCGTACAGCTCGTTGCTGACCACTCTTTCAGTGTTGACGAAATCGTTTAGGCCGCTGATGCTGCAGCTGCCTTTGGCGGTGGGCACTTCAACGCATTTGTAAACGCTGTTGTTCAGTTGCAATGCATACAGTTTGTCCTCGATTCCAGGTTCGTCGAATCCGCACGTGTCCCCGAGGTCGGAGTGGTAGGACCCTCGAGGTCTGGGACCCGAGGCTCGATTGTTTTGCATGTGCAGCGTCAATTCGACGCCGTCGATGTTCTGCGTCGTTGTACTTTTCTGTTTTCACCGGCATGGCTCTCAGCAGAGTTTGCCTTGAGTGTTGTCAGCCATGCTTAGCTGATTGAGATGAATGCACAGTTCGCAATACGGAAAGAGATCGGGTAATTTCATGCCGGTCACAGTGGTTTCTGGTCGTATGTCATTTGAGGTCAACCCGAGAGTTCTCGCCATGTTTTTACCGAGCCTGATGGATTTTCCCCCGGTCTTTAACGTTATCATGCCATTCAACTCGTTGAGTTTGAGGCTGGCTTCGATGGGTTTGAAAATTTCGTTGTTTAGCATGCAAATGCTGTAATAACCGTCGGACAAATCATGGCGAATTCCATCGATGAATATCCTGTTGTTACCTATGGATTTACTGATATTCGACCATCGTGGGTAAAATGTGAGATCGCTGAGCGCGACTTTGAGCTGACCGGACGTGTTATCGATGGCATGCAGCAGTTGAACGGACTCGCCACTCGTGATTCCCGGAAGCGTCAAGTACATATTTAAAAAGTAGATATGTATACTATATAACAATTCAAAAATATGTGCAAACCGGGATTGTCTTATTCTAAAAGCCATAATAAAAGAAGTGCTACCGATCTCACACAACCGAGTATTGTGGTCGATGCAAAGGATGGTTTACATGGTTCGATTCATCGACGTGTTTAAAATTTACGGGTTTTAGGTCACGAATTTCACAACGGTACACGCTTGGTTCCACAACCTGATGCAGTTTTGACAGAATCAATTCAATTTGGCCATGTGGTGCGCGACCATCGGGTGTGGCGTGATGTTGAACTACATTCATCGTGGTCCGCTGAGTCGGTCTGTGTTCTATTTTCAAGTGTACTATCAGATCAGACGTATTTTGAAAGAAATCAGCGCCCCGATTCCGCAGGACAAGGCCTGGAATGCTATAAACAATCCGTACGATCGACGTGCGTACGAATTCAAACTCGATCTGAAGATGGTCGATTGGCGTTTGCTGGGTCCGAACCACGGTTTGGCCATTCCCATCATTCACAACATGTCTCTCGCGAAAGCCAGCAAACAGCTGGTTAAAGATTGAGGTAACAAGTCGTATCATTACATCACGACGAACGAGTGGAACGATGATTACATGGCTTTCGACAACAGCAAGGATTACCACGTTTTGAGGTTTGAACAGAGACCCGCGGACGATTGGAAAATGTTGGAGACTTAAAAAGGGTTTACTCATGCCGGAGTCGTCAGATTGAACGATTCGATTCAAACGTACGTGTGTGCCGTGCTGGGCGCTCAGACACAAACACATTCCAACATTGTGGCTGTGAAGGGAGGGCTTATGACGTGCAGAAACAGTTTGTGGCTAATGTCGAGGATGCCATTGCTAGACCGTTCCGAGTGCCATCGAACACTATGAAAACGGGCTGAAATACGCCCTTTCGAAATTCCACTACATGTTCGGTGCGACACTGTACATAGTTCCGAGCGACGTGCAACTGAGGGTGAACAGAGTGGTGGGCTACAACAACGAAATTGTCATCGCCACCATCGCCACTCGCGTTATTGACATCTGGGTTCAAGCCCAACTTGAAGTACGAAACGGGGATAGTGGCATCGCCAATGGAAGAAGAAGGAGCACCACAACAACAACAGCTGCCTCCGCACGTGCAGGCAAACAATCAGCGGCACATCGATCGTAAAACCATAGTAATCGCGCAGGTTTAGTTCATTGCGTATCAGTTGACTACCACCATGGCGACTGGCTAGCATTGACAGGGCGAGCGGTTTTCTTGTGTGTTTGTTCATGAGATCGACCTCCGGATGAGCTTTAAATCACAGCATCCTTTCGTTGTCGATTTTGAACTTCGGATAGTCGCGACCCTTTAGAGTATCATAATAATCGTCCACGGTCTGCTTTAAAAGTTCGTGTCTCCCATGAACGAGGTGTCCATGGCTGCTGATGTATCATTGTCATTGAGCAAAGGGGTTCTATCGCTGTCCCCCAAATCATCCATGGGAATATCGTCAGCCATGGTTCTCTATTAAAGATTATGGAAATATACTTTGAATATAAAAATGGCGTTGACCTACGGACGAAAGCTAGATCCTTTCCAAAGATCGAGAGAGATGCTTGTATCAAAGCCATGCGTCAGTCGGTGA